CCCCCCCCCCCCCCCCCCCCCCCCCCCCCCGCTACTTTACGCAGATATTTAACGTTTTTAATTTCCTTCGGGGGGGGGGGGTCTGGAAGAATGGGGCCTGGGGCAACAGTCCCCTTTGCCCCCCCCTCGCCCCCTTAATCCGGCCCTGACCTATGTTCATCGCTCTTTGGAGACGAGTAAAAAAGCTGGCTCAGATTTCATTTAAAAATATAGAGCATCTTGTGCGGTTGTGAAGGCTGTCTGATTGAATTATGTCAGTAGAATCGGGTATGGTCATCACCCGATGTGTTTTTTTTGGTCGCGCAGTTTCGGCACGGGAAAAGAATCACCAATGTTTTTTGTCTCGTGAAGAAAACGAAGGCCGCCCAAGCCACACCAGAAAAGTTACAGTATTTTTTGAAGTGCTTCCGGTCAGACCGAGATAGCGTTTGCTCGAGTGCTACGATTTATTTACATGCACAGCATGAGCCGAACGTCGAGATTGAACGCTATGCCTGCGTTTGCAAAGTCGAAGATGAATTCAGACGCAGCGGGGATTAGAATGTTTGCATGATTGCTTAGTGTTTTCGTCGAACCGACGCCGCCCACATGCGTCTCGACCAGACGTGCGCATCATTTCGGCGTCGTTTCCAGGAAATGGCGAAAAGTCGTCGGGTCGTTCGGGCGGGTCGCCAGTCAAGTCATTCAATTTCTTCCATTAGAGGCCATTAGCAAGGTAGGCCGCATGAGAATAGTCCATTCTCTAGTCTCGAGGGATTTCATCGGGTAAAAATAAGAGTGGAAAAACGTGCCCGAGTGCGTGTGGGTGAGGCCCTCTCCATCCCGAATGCATGTATGCGATGAGAGAGGAAAATTCTCAACGAGCTTAGCTTGCCTACTTCGCAGAGAAAGTAGGGAATTCCCCGTGGGACGGGGCATTTCTGCCTCTTTCCTGCATTCCCTCATCTCCCATCTACGACCATTACCCCTTCTGCGAGCGTCACACCCGTCTCGAGACTTCATGTGACATGGGTGTTTCTACAGTCCGCTGCATGCTCGCTTGGATTTTCCCACGCTGGATCTAGGGATTGCGAAAACAGGATCTATCTCCCCTGGGAAACATCATTCGCGAACGAGACGTGGATGGTTGTTATCTCAAGGATATTTTTGTTCTGTCGCCGAAATGAATTTTCTGCCACATCCCTCGGTGAGAAGGAAAGGAAGGAAATTAGTAAGGTCTGCTCGATAGGAACCCAAAGATGATGAAGTGGATCCTTTTCCTCTTCGTGAACGTCCTCGCCTCCGCCAACGTTCAGGTATTCCACCCACGTTCGTACTCTGAGCCACTAATGGAAGGAATGAGAGAGACGAGAAGATGGGAAAACTATTTGCTGGTCGATGTAACGCGAGTGTCATTCTTTCGTTCCTCGAGGAGATTCAATTCTGCCTCCATAGAGATTCTTTTTCCAATCCAATCGGTATTGCAACTGCAGTCTTTTCAGCTTGTATTCGGTCTAAACAACGCTGTCTCTCTTTTCCTCTCTTTTCCTCTCTTTTCCACTCTTTTCCATTCATTCCCCTCCTCCCTGACTTTTTTTTTCCACCGTCTCATTTGGATGGATGTAGAGGCAGAACGTGAAGCAAGAGGGCTCGATTTTGGACGTCCTCACGGAAATGGGGCTAACGACCGTTCTGGAGCTCATCGAGGCTGCTGGACTCTCAGAGGCACTCGATACCGACCCTGGTATTTCTTCACCTTGGAGATTTTTTTTTTTACTTAAAACGAAAAGTCATGTAAAACAGAGACAGGTTTCACGACCTCAACACGTGTCATCATCGCAATACGAAATAAATGACACTATGTTACCGAGTAGGTTTGCACATGCAAACATGTCACAACACGTCACAATACAGGGTGCGCAAAATGTTCTTGCCGCTATATTTTTGGTTATAACTTTGCTGTATTTCATTCCATTTCCATCAAAATGTTACCAAACATAACAAACGTATAAGGCTACAATATACTATGAGGGTTTTTCAAAATGTTCACCGTCGAGTGAGATACAGGCTTTAAACGCTTTGGAAAGTTGTCCACGATGGCCGTCAGTTGTTTGACCTTAATGTCGTCTCAAGCCTTAAGCAAACCCTTCTTCAACGAATCCACACTGCTGTGCGGTGTGGAGCAGGCCTTCTTCTTCAAAATGGACCACACGGGGCAATCCATGTGAGATCTGATGAGTTTTGAGCACCAGACGTCCTTTCCCCACGGATCCGAAAACAGCTCTTTGCAGAGCTTCATCATCGTCTTCGCCCTGTGCGCGGACGCTCAGTCTTGTTGCAGCGTCCATTCGTTTTCGTCGATATAGTCACGTGCCCAGGGGTCCAGAACTGCTCTCAGGATGCGGTCTTGATGCACGGCTGCATTGATCTTCACCCCTTTTTCCACAAAAACCAGGAGTCTTGCCCATGGCACAAATCCCAGCCCACATCATCACCGACTGCGACCGGCTCACAGTTGCGGCTCCTGAGAGCAGTTCTGGACCCCTGGGCACGTGACCATTCGGCAGTGTGGATTTGCTGAAGAAGGGTTTGCTTAAGGATTAGGACGACATGAAGGTCGAACGGCTGACGGCCATCGTGGACAACTTTCCATAGCGTTTAAAAGCCTGTATCTCAGCCGACGGTGGACATTTTGAAAAATCCTTAGAGTATATTGTGGCCATATATGTTTGCTTTGTTTGATAAAATTTTGATGGAATTGGGATGAAATACAGCAAAGTTATAACCAAAAATATCGCGGCAAGAACATTTTGCGCACCCTGTATACAGTATGTTGGAAGTGGTCACCGCCACCGCTGTAACACCGCTGGCTGAATGTTGAATTCATTTTCTGCAATCGCATGATTTATAAAGGATTATGGCCTCCACGCTCACATGACTCATCACCGGATTACTTCTCGTGGTGCAACATTAACGACCGGGTACATGCGAACGATCCCCACACTGGAAGAGTTGCAACACGTCGTTGCCAGCATTCAGCCGACCTTGTTACAGTCTGTATCCAGCAACATGCTTTGCCGCGCACGCTTGTGTATTGAACATGGCCACTTCTAACATACTGTATGTGACGTGCTGTGATTGTGATTGTCATTTTGCACCTTACAATGTCCTGGTTCTCATCACCAAATTGTATCTCTGAATTGTAGTTCCTTTTTTATTTGGATTTCTTGGGGTTAACTGGTCGAATGAACACCCTGTACTTCACCCTGGCTGAGTTCATGCAGGTATCAGGGGATAGTCATAAGGCAGTTGGAATTCTCAATGGAGCCTAGCACACCTATGCATTACTCATGCGCAATCAAAATTTTACATTTTTTAAAGATCAGACGTCTTGCCCAGTTCTTGCAAAAATTCTTCTTCCAGTTCTTCCAAAAATCCACCCATAGGGTGTATCCTTTCGAATAGGAACGAATGCATCGAACGAACGAATGCATTCGGGCTCTCAGCAAAAGCGAGTGAGGGAAATGTTTGCTGAGTTTTTCCCCTCTGAAACTGACAGAGTTCCCTGGCAGTGGGGTTTGCAATGAACAGAGAAAGTGTTTTAGTTTTGTTTTTTTCCCCATGCCATTGGCTATTCAATGTTTTCCGCTGTCGCATATATGTATATGTCGCATTTACCAAATTGTTTTTTGTCTCTTTCACTTCCCCAACGTCGGCCAAAAACAAAAAGAGCTTGTAGGTAAACAGCAATTTTCATCACTGCTTGCTCCACCACTCATTGATATGTCCACTTTCTTCTCTGCATTCCACTCGACTTTCAAAATTTCGAACTTTACTTTGCACTTCAGTCACCGGTACTTCCAATTCCGTTACAAGATTAGATCAGGCATCTTGATTTCTTTTCTTGTCCTTCTAAAGGACACTTCCCACGTTCCAAAGGCACCCTCATTTCGGTATTTATAATTCAACTCAACAGTCTTTTCCCTGTCCCACTCCTTTTTCGACACTGAAGTCTTTCACTATGCAAGAAAAGTATACTGGGTTTCTGCTTTTGAAAGTCTCTAGCAAAGAGGTCTCAGAAAGAGAAATTCTTACAAAGGAAACTTTCAAAGACGTCCACACCATGAAAGTTTTCTTTGCAAGTCGACTCACTAAGAAAACTTGCATAGCAAACTTTCTGGTGTGGACGAGGCCTCGGAAAATATTACAATATTATGAGTCCCTGACACTGTGGAAGGGTTGACTTTCATTTAAACTAGGGCTGTCACGATAGGTCGATGCATCGATACCACTATCGATAGTTGGAGATATCGATAGTTTTTTCGACCATCGCGATGCATCGGAAAAGTATTTTAAAGGGGAAATGTCTCATTGGGATTGAGGCGAGCACAGTACAATACAGTCCGTCCGGGCGGGGAAAGGAAGAAGTGGCGTGACCTGCATGGGCTTGCGATTTATTATCACAATCAAATTCCTGAAATGCTGGGACTGACTACAAGAAAGTTTGGAAGTGAAAAAAAAAGTCGGATCGGAGACAGGAAGTGAGAAAGGAGAGGGGGGAAGACCGAGAACATTTTTTTTTCCCCCCACACCCGATGCATCGATACACTATCGATAGTTCAGGTCGATGCATCGATGTTTTGAAAACTGCTATCGTGACAGCTCTAATTTAAACACTATCTTCCTCGAAAAGCATGGAATTTCGAAAGAATCGGAAAAAAAGGAATTTGAAAATATTCGTAGTTAGGTGTCCAAGAATAACATGTTGCTGAAGTTGAAAATTATTCCACATTTTCTCATGAGGTTTGTATGGCATATAATAAAAAGTACAATGCGAGTGAAAGCCTTTCTAATTGTGCATTTAATATACGCCTGAGGATGTACACAGGAATTTAAAACTCAGCGCCTGAAGTGTTAAATCTAATATATCATAATCGTGACTGACAGTGACTGGAGTTAATTCTAACAACGTTCTAGAGAAGTTAGAAATCTGAAATTTGGTACATTTGTACCTTTTTGGATGCAGAGTTCAGAAAAAATCAGACTTCGGAGATATGTGCCTTTGGGACCCCCATTTTTGGCGGATATGTTTTCAATGATATATTTGCTTCAGTCAAACGGAGAGACATGGAAAGCTGAAACTTGTCCTGGACTGAGACACTCAGTTCAGGAAAAATATGAAGTTTCAGATGCATGCCTTCGGGGCATATTTCTGGGAGGTGACGTTTTCAAATATCTTTTCTTTGTCCGAATTGGGCAGAAATAGAAAGGTGAAACTTGGCACACCGATAACTGAGGTGATAATAGGTTCAGAAAAAATTCAAGTTTTGAGGTGCAACCCTTCAGGGCACAGCTTTTGGCTGCATCGGCTTTTCGAAATATATTTTTGCACCAGCAAAAAGAGGAAGCGGATAAGGCTGGAACTTGATATGTATCTGGTTTTCCGAGTAATGATTTCAGTAAAAATATTAATTTTTAATGATAACCCCTGAGGGCACCTTTTTTTTTGCAAAAGACGCATTTTCCAGAATCCTTTCTGATCCAATGAAATGAAAGAGAGGACTAAAGCAATTTGAAAATTGGCTCAGAAGTACCTGTTCAATTGCTGAGAGCAGATTCTACTTTTCAAATATGACCCCTCATGGCAGATTATGATGAGATTTGAAGTAAGGCACTCAAGAAACAATGTCAGTAATTATTCGATGGAAATATCTGTTCGTTCTCTCGATACACATTTCGAGAGGCGCAGTCTTTTAATACGTTTTTGCCACCTTGAAAATAAATTAATGAATGAATCACTAAATTGGACAATGGAGCGCCGAAGTCGCCACCATAGGCAAACAAACTCGCTAGTAGATACTATTCTGGGAGCAAGTATCATGCCTTGGGGCTCTCTCGAGCCAGGTTCCCTTCATTCATCCGTCTGCATCGAGCTGGAATAAACCTACCACGCTCCACCCTATCGGTTTCTGTAATAATTTAAGATGCTTGGATGAGGTCTTCCCCCGTTAACCTTCGATAGAATACAGCCCCAATGCTTCTAAATGCCGCCCTCATTAAAGTATCCGGACCTCCGCAGGTAATTCATAAAATATTTAATTCGTTGGGCTCAGATAGCCCCCGACATTGATTCCAACGTTGTTTATTCTACGTCGGGATGTTGACACAATGGCGATTCAATGTTGGTTCAGTGCGATGTGCTACCCGAGTCCTTCATTGTTTTAGTTGCCTGCCTCTGAACTCTCCAGCGCCCGTAATTCCCATACACTTGCAAGCCTCTGAACTTGTAGACGGTGCTCCAAATGGGGTTTCATCGATGCCACACGCTACGGAAGAAAGCGCGAGATCTTATTGGGAATCAATGCCAGATTGTATCCAATATTTCGTTTGATTAAACTACCGTCCCGTGCGCGTGCTCTGAGAAATGGAGTACCTCATTTGAGATGATTCCCTTTGTCTCCCTGTGTCTCCCTTTGTTTCTCTGTCTCCCTGTTCAGCTCTTCCAGTTTATTCTCGTCAGACGCGTTCAGAGACGTATCGTTATTATGAAGAATCGTTAATCGTATCGTTATCTGGCGAATCTTGGATTTACTCTTCTTTCGAAGCGCTACCCTTCATGTGTAACCTTTCCAATAACTACAGTAACGCGTCTCGTGTTGTATTTAGGGTTGCCACTCTTTCATAATTAGTATGGACAGTACATATTGGAGATACTACAGTACATATTGGAGATACTATGTCCATACTGCAGACTGGTTTTAATATGGACACTATTTTGTCCATATTTTAAACTTTGAAAGATATTTTGAATTAAGAAGGCTTAATAGCGACTAAGACCATTCTTTTGCGTAAGTCAAAAGCAGTTGGCCACACTCTTACAGTATCGATTGGCGCCTTGACTTAAGGTAGCCGTGGATATTTGTGGTATAGCATTAGGGCGTTGCGGTATGCGATAAATTTATCGGTAGGTATATCGCGGCTCAATACCGGGGTATTCCGGTGATACCAACGAGGAGGGGAGGGGAGGGGGGTAGGTTTTCTTCAGTTATGAACTCCTAGAAAAAAAAACACGAAAAAGAAAACAGCGAGCCTTTCTGTTGTGATGGCGTCGAGCTAGCCGCACATCCGTATTATGCCATTTGATTGAAAGCAAGAGAATTCGTTCGTTTCAACCCTAATGAATGGATTCATGGATTTAGCAGGCGTGTCCAAGAATAATACCGCGATTAAAGTTGCTGGGAGGACTCAAATTATGGATCTCGGAAAAAAGAAGTATCATGAAGAGAAACCACCTTACATTGTGCATGGCCGCACGTTTCATATTGGTGTGAGTGCTCAGGCTCACCGACCAGAGGACACAGTCAAAGCACAAATGTACCCACAAATGACAGATCTTGACCCTTGAGTCCTGATTAAATGCACTCCGGTGACTTCCAGGAAGGCTTCGGTTTTCCCCGGGCTGTGGGCGTCACCGTGGGTGGAGACGGGGAGCATCGTCGATAAAAGTATTTTATTTTTAGAAATGGTTCTTGGTATGGAGCTGTGGCGGTGATATGATTAGAGGCGGTGTCATGCGGTTTTCATACCGTAGCGACGGTATGAAAGTGGGCAGTAATCCACAGTTTTCATACCGTGGCGATAATACTGAAAAATGTTGAAGGGTACGATTATCACGAGAACCGAATACCGCGGCATGATAAAAAAAAAATACCGGTATGCTGCAATGCCCTACATAGAATCAGACGCAAATATAGGAGCCTTCGAATATTTGTCCATATTTCCTTATGTCCATATTTTGTCAAATTCGCAAGTAGCAACCCTAGTTATATTCAGAAACCACGAACAAATCAACTTGCCGAGTCCAGATGAACAGGCGACAGAATTAATTGGACCTGTACATATAAAGAGGCAGGCGTGTAAACGAAGCCATTGAGTACTCTTTGACGTATTTAGGTCCAATGACGGTGTTCGTACCGGTCGCCGACAGTCTCTCGCAAGAACTAGTGGACTTCTTGTTGTCAGACGTAGAGTTGTTGACGGATTTGTTGACGTATCACGTGGTGGTCGACCAAGCCCTCCTCTCCTCTGACCTCAGTAACGAACTCGTCTTGCCCACTGCCCAGGGTACCACTCTTCGCATCAACATCTACGACGTCGATCCCACTGGAACGGTCAGGGTTATACAACATCGTAAATGATTCCTAGTTTTCAACCTAGTTATGTAGGTTGAGAAAACGGAAAGAGGATTCACGGAGACATTTTTTTTTTTCAGGTCTACTCTGTGAACGGGGTTCCGATCGATTTGTCTCAGGTTGACATTTCGGCGAGCAACGGCGTCATTCACTTCATGTTCTACATGCTTCTTCAGGTCCCTATCGTGAGTCACCGAAATGCCCTGCTCCAACTCACGAGGAGAAAGAAATTGCTTTTAGCCTGGAAAACGGTCCGGGCATCGATCTGTACTAGGGCGACACGGTGGAAACTGCCCAGTTCCTGGCCAACAGCATTGGAGACTATGGGAACATCCTCTATGCCGCAGATCAGCTTGGCCTCCTCCCAATGTTCTCCGGTAGATAATGGAATCTCTGTGTGTCTTTGAGGCCTGTCCACCGAAGCTCTTGCGATTAAGGACGTAGCCAGGAAGCTTCGAGGAAGGTTCAACATGCTACTCGAGTTCTCAATCACCAATTTCTTTGAAGCTGTAATTATACCACCCAAACATATCCCATTCGAAAAAACGACAAAACAACGCCGGGTCAACATTGACAAAAGGTTGAAAATTTGAGACATAGTTGGAATTGAGAATTTAGCGAAGAATCAACATCAATGAAATGCCGACTATTCGTTAATTAATAGAATTTTAGCATATAGAGACTATAGAGACTACTCACGGATTAACGAAGTCGTTTAGAAGCTATTAAGTGTAAATTTTATTTTCACATTTACCTTCATTATAGTCTCAATGGTGTTTTAAAATGAAGTTATCCACATTATCTCAACAAAAAAGGTTCTACCAATCGACGCGAGATGGCGCCTAACTGCTGAATAAACGATTCTCACCCTGGTGCCCTTGAAATGAGTCCCCCTGTATTTTTCATACAGTTCTTCCCCCGATCTTTTCCCACGTACAAATTAATACTTGACCTACCGAGGCAGTTATTTTGACTGCTCGCCGATTTTAAATGCATTTCACTTTGCTCGAATGACCTCCGCAGCTTTTACTTTTCTTATCTAATATCGGCAATTTGAACATTTTAACATTTTGAACATGCCAAATAACATCTGAAAAAACAAACAAACAACGTTACCGAGTAATACAGTCGACTCCACATATTGGAATACCGCTTAATGGAATACTCCACTTTATGGAATACCATTGCACGGTCCCAATATATGCTACGGTACAGAAGTATAGTTTCACAGGATAGTTTCAGTTATTGGAATACTCCGGATTATATAGAATAAAATTCGCTGGTCCCGTGAGTATTTCAATATGCGGAGTCGACTGTAGTTTGATACTGCATTTTTTGACCAGCGGTCAAATTGACCGCCCTGGTAGTTCTAGTGTTATGGGAAGGCTTTGGAATTCCTCGTTGAAGGAGGTAACCCAGCAGAGGGAGACTCCAGGTACATCGAGAGGGTCCGAAGAGACATGCCGAATTTTCTTACCTCACTACATGACACATACACTGACTCGGGCTCTTGAATCTGCTTTGAGAGTGACAGAGCGTGTTAAACGGCATGCGAGGGTGTGTCGGGCTCTTCCCCTGGGGAATCTAGGTATACATCTAGGTCTGATGCAGACTCGTGGACAAATGAATCATGTCATTCAAGTACTTAACTTCGATTCTGATTCAGTAAAGGAAGTTATAAGCTTAGAAGAACTCTTCCGTGGGATGATGGTACTCTCTAGAGTACTTTCAAGCTCAAATCAGTTAATGCATGTTCAAACTCAGGAAAGGGAGGAGGCAATGCCTAGATGTTGACAATTCAACACTGATCCATGAGATCCATGAGCGTATTTCCAACGTTAAACTGTGTTTCATTTCAATATTATGGCAACACTTTAGTACTCCGTTGTGGCAACATTGCTACTTTGAAAAATCAATCTTCGCTCAACGTTGACCTGACGTTGTTCTACCGAATGGGATTGAATGTGAGGTCCTGTGAATTTACTGCCTACTACGTGTGGCGTTTAGCCTGCAGCCTTGCAAAGCTGGAATGATTATTTTTGGAGTCACACAGGGCGTGTCATTGGAGTGGGGGGAAGAGATCAATAGCATTTGAGAGCATGCCTTCAGAGTCTGCCAAAAATACCTTGAATGGCGTTCTAAAAATGTCTCACATGGTCAAGTAAAAGGTCAAAAGTCGCCAAAAATGTCAAATTTCATGCCTTGGCATTAAAATATCGATGTGGAATTCATCGGATTAAATCGCAACTTGTCATTTTTGTTAGACTCGCTCCGCTTAACAATGATCTCAGTTTGAATTTTGTTCCCAAGTTTCGGAGCGGGAAAATTTTGAAGATACAAATTCAAAATTATGTCAAATTTCTACAAAAGTGGTTGTAAAGCTTGGTCAAAACTAGCTTTCTCCAGTGGTTCTTTTTTTGGAATGGAAGGAGGGGGGAGGTGCTATAATTCCTTGACAGGATTTGAAGTATCAGGTGGACTCACATTACTAACCGTAAAATGATTTATTTAAAAAATATATTTTTTTTTAGAGGTTGTCCAGCTTACTTTTCCCCAGTTTTTTTTTCGTTTTGGCGCGGATTGATCTAGCCATAATGCTCAAGGCCATCCCGGACGACAATCCGAGATACGTTCCTTCCGGTGAATGGGGTTTTACAATCATTGTGCTAGAAATGGAGACGATGACGGGGCTGCTTCCATCGGATGAGTTTTTCTCAATGGACATGATTGAAGATCTGCTGGCAAATGACAGAGAGACGTTGATGGAGATTCTCATGGACCATGGTACTGTGGGCTCTTATTTTGGAATCAGCATTGGAGAACGGCGGGAATTCTCCACCCTCTCCGGAAGAACCCTCATCGTTCAGGAAGTCGGTCTGTTCCATAAATATTGGAAGGGGTGGGAAAACAAATTTTTTTCTCCAATGATAAATTCTCCTATGGTATTTGATCGGGAGCCGGGAATGATGTCAACAGAGAGCCAGCGGTATGATTGGTTGTCCAGGCGATTCCAAGAACTTCTGCATGGATCAATCATGGCGCGTCTTTCCGTTGCACGTCACTCCCGGATCTCGCACGAGGAAATAGCGCTATTATGAAACATTTTGATTTTTTTCGTAGAGGGGGAATACTTGATCCAAGACTCGGAAGGGAATCAGTTGTCCAAGATCACCGGAGGAGACATTCCCTGCACGAATGGAGTCGTGCATTCCTTGGACATGCCGATCATCTTCCCTTGAATCACCTCCATGGTAGAGGCAATGGAATGAAGAAAAAAAAAGGAATAATAAAAGAAAGACCTGATTCTCTGGTGTTCTCGCCTCGTCTCTTAATCCGTGTGTGCTCGGTCATGGATTTTCATGGAATGGCGCTCTGCCAATCCCTCCTCTGTCTCGCACAATGCCATCCCTTTTTTTTTTGCTTTCTGTCTTTTCTTTTATTTCCTCTATTCCCCCTTCACCCTCTCTCTTCTCTTTTTCTCTCTTCTTTCTTCTGGGTCGGGATCCCTCTCGCCCGGTTGGAGACAGCTGGTCTCACGTTCTTCCTTGCCAAACCAAGGCCCTTTTGAGAAAAGCCGAAAGTTTTTTCCCCTTTTTTACTATCCGACCCTCGTAAACTGCTGCGGATGATGTCATAAACCAGGCCGTATGTAAATAATCCGTTGCGTGGAGGCTGTAGATATCGGAGGACGTGCGGGATACCGTTCCCCATGTCCGTGATGGATTCGGGGCGATGCGAATGAGAAATCGCGTCGCGTGCTGAGGGGAAACGCGATCACCGAAGAAGACCGAGAGATTCAATCTCTCTCCCCTCCCTTCCTTCCATACTCCATGGAATTATTCATATATCCATAATGTATGTAGACGAGCTTAATCCTTGCGCTTAATGAGCCTCAGTCCCCTGAGATACCTCTGTCGTAACAAATTCAGCCTTCAATTTTCCTCTGACGGGGACTCGTTTCACGTGTGGCCTTTCGATCCCCTCGGTGCTTCGGTGCCACGGTGCTTCGGTGCCTCGATGCCTCGGTGCCTCGGAGCCTCGATGGTTCGATGCTTCGGTGCCTCGGTACCTCGATGCCTCAGTGCCTCGCCTGCAATGCCGTAAATAGAAAGGGGGGGAAGGAAAATATGCTCTTTTTCTCTCACTGAGGAGGAATCTCGTTCACGACAAGAACATCTGCTGCGAATTGAATTGAAGGAGAAAGAGGGAAATGGCTAGAGAGAAGAAAAAAAACAGCAAAGAGAGAAGGAGATAGGATTAGAGATTCGTTTAATGAGAGAAAAATATGCCTCGGGAGTACATCTGTCGAAAAAGTGAAGGAAAAGCACGTATGAAAAAGGTTCACGGCTAGGAAGACCTTCAATTCTTTTTCCAAAGAATCAATTTTCATATGCGTTCTCGTATGCATGCATCAAGCGTGGCAAACGACCGTGTTCCGATTCGTTGTATTGAAGAGCAGGGTGGAAAGGAAACGAGTTTAACCCATAGGCTGCTGGATAATGCATCGTCATTCTTACATCAAAAGAATTCCAAAGACGGGGAAAGGTCGGAGATCAATGAGGGTAATAATTTATTAATAATAAGACAAGATAGAGCTCGTAGGTTGCGTTTGCTCTCGTGTCGCGTCTATTCCCCTTTCGTGTTCTTGTTCTCCCTCTTCGTTTTCCGTTTTTCATGTCTACCCAATATCATGAGTAAATCCTTGGAGACTTAAGGAAGTTTACCGAAGAAGCTGATATTACTTACATGCTGCTAATAAATTTACGGTTATTTTAAAATATAATTTCCGCAGACAGAGAGAATTAGATATAGATGTAGATAACAGCCAAGACACACCTGAAATGAGGTGCTCATTCGCATTCTGATGGCCAATTTTTATAGACAGCGAACCAATAAACAAGTTACTTTTTTCACGTCTCCGAAATGAAGAACTTTTCGGGCATATCTGCTGATCTTCGTGGAGGCTTCGAATTAATATTAATTTAAAAAAATTTATATGTGGTCTGGCTGCATTCTTCAAAGATTTCCAAAGAAAAATCATTTTATAATTATATTCATTTCCTCATTGGTGCTAGATGATTAATTATTGGCTCAGGACTCTTCTCCATGCCAGTGCCATCATCGTATAAGTGTTCTTCAAGTTATTTTTACCAAGGAAGTAAGGAGCCATCAAAGTTCGGACAGTACCTAAGTTCGTATGTCGTTACAAAACCAAACATCGGTGAGCTCTCACTCAGGAAGAGTTCTTCGCAGCTTGGAAGAGCCGTTTCTGAGGGCAACCTCTCAAGTGCTTTATTTCACAACAATTTATTTTATGGCGCTTAGGAACTTAGGAACTGTCCGAACTTAGACGGTTTTGCCCTAACAAACATAAATATTTGGGGAAATTCCAACTAAACGAACGATGGAATAACTGATGAAAGAGAGAATCCGAAATCGATCGTAAGTGACTTGCGGAATCGAGCGAAAGAGGACGCGGTGGCTCTTCCATGGAAATCGGGATGGGAGCAAGCGCTACAGGCTCGGAGAGCACGAGAGTCGTCGATGAGAGAGATCTTGCTAAATCTAAGAGCTTCGTGGAGTTCGGGATGACGTTCGATCGACGCGATCGTATCGGTGAGGGACCGATACCGAGAATCCGACGCGTTAGGGATGATTTAACCGAAGAGACGAGTCGATTAGAGCCCGAGATAAATACGTGGACCATCGCTCTCGAAAGGCGGCAGCCGGCTGTCGCTTTTTGGAAAGGTGTCTGGTCTTCGTCACTGTGCCCCCACAAGCAGATCCTAGATCCCGAAGCCCTCTGGAATTCGTGCCTCTCCGAGTTTCGTCTCTGTCCTTCGGGAATCCAACCATAACGTTTCCGCGCCGAAACATTTCCGTGCCGAAATATCAGAATAGCAGAAACTCGCTCGAGGCCACGAAGTAAAGAGTACTTTGATTCGAAGTACTCGAGAGAGCAACAACGAGCGCGATGGACGAAGGAAACCCCAACTGCAACGGGGCCCATATTTAGACTCGGCTAAAGCTTCTGATGCCTTTCCTCACGAGCGATTGGCTGAAACGGAGACGCTTGGCAATCGAGGTACTTTCGTCGACAGAGATGAATATCTGCCCGTAAGAGACCAGAGTCTGATTGTAAATGAGGAAGTGCGGCGGAAGTGAGGGTCGTGAACCCCTCAGGGGGTCTAAGAAACGCCCCCCTTTGTCCTTTAATCATTTAGATCGAGGCCTCGAGAGCGAAATGGGTAATTTGTCTGCGACTCGACGGCAGATCTCCATCTCCGAAGGGGACGTGGCGAGAGCCAACAGGAAATTAGAGATTCCGGGCGCGTGGAGAAAAAAAAAATGACTCCCGATGATCGATAAGAGTAAATATTAAGATCTTCGCATCGGTCATAATAAGGACAGATCTCTGAATGCGTCTGACGATGATAGGCTGAGAGAGGCGAACGGGGAGAGAGATTTGGGGATCATGATCGATGAGGGGCTCAAGTTCCCCGAGCAGGCGTACGAGACGATACTTCATGGAACTCGCTTTTCGGTGGTATTACGCATTCGATTCCCAAAGGGAGTTCCCGCGTCATACTGCCGTTCTATGCGTTTTTTTTTTCCTCCATCTAGGATATCGCGTTCGATGCAGAAGGTTTGCAGATAAAATGGGGTCTCATGGCGCTGTGGGGGCGGTTAAGAGACGCGCATCTCGAACCACGCTAGGACGGACGGGGACATCGATGCGAAAGGCGTTTCGACTCTTCGGATCTCTTTTCGTTGGAGTGGTGAAGGAGAGAGGATTAAAGACGCCTTTAAGGACGACGATAGACGCGGGGTGCTGTACACTTTTCAACAAGTTGGGCGACGGAAAATCTATTCGAGTCGAGTTAAACCTCGCGTGAGACGGAGATGCGGAAAATCGCCGAGTTGTGAATGCTTGGAACGCACGAGGCGAAGATGTAATCGGACAAAAAAGAGGGCGAAAGAGATGGAATTGACCAGACGCAGATCGACACGCTCCTTTCGCCCTGCGATGCGATTGGCCCCTGCGAAGGGTTAGGCTTATCTCGGATGAGCGCTCGACCGCGACTCGGGAAACGAATACGGCCATGCGTGCTTTTCGACGTCCCAATCCAAACCATGAACCTGGTCGTTATCACGGGTGCATGGAGCTGTCCGAGGTGGCTTTAGGGACATGTACGTTTCCATGTTGAATTAAACTTCCGACAGGCAATCACCATCGTCATCTCCAACAGATACATCCTTCAAATTTCGAATGAAGGAACTCTATTGTGAAAATTTCAAATTGGACACACTGCTCTGGTTCCAGGGAATTCTTATGATAGGTGATGAATGGGAAAAAGAAACAGGCTAAAATGGGAAAAAGAAACTAGAAAATTGCTAAAAGCAATCACCTCTTCGAGGTGATTGCTTTTAGCGACGAGTGTCCAATCTCTCGTCGTCGGTTTCCCTCACCATTTGCGTCGTTAAGATGGGCTCACGTTTGACATAAGCCTAGATTTTACACCCACGCGGAATACATGCCTCTCCAAGTTTCGAGTCCGCAGAAAGCAGCCATTTTCCCCCCTGGTCGGTCGCTTCCAGATCCCCCCATTATTTCAAGTGTATACCTTTCCAATGAGGCTTAATGAAGAACCGAGTCCGGAGTTACATGGAATCTTTTGCTGCGTTTTGTTAGCGCTACTGAAGTGGGTATAGCTGAACCGTCTTCCTAGACGCCAATTAAAGAAAGTCCTATCAGAGAATCGGATGAGGGTCTCGACACGATTAGACGGAACACTCCTTATGCTCATTGGGCCGTAAAACCCGAGCTCTCGCTCGGAGCTAGAAGTCAGAGCTCGAGCCGAGTCTCAGCCTTTCCCCGGTTTCTAGCGAATGAACTTTCTCTTAAGCTTGGAGCTTGCACTTTGGAGCTCGAGTTACAAGGACTTCGAATAATTAATGGTGATGGCGAACGCGACAAACGGTGTTGCATCATGATCGTTCGTTCTTCGGAAGTCATGGTGTGATCGCCAGCGCCCAGAGGATAGGTGCACGACATTCCGCTGGGAATGCGGATCAGCATTTCCTAGAAAAGGTATGAATTATTTCCAGAGCACTAGAGGAAATGGAGGTGTGACGTGTTCTCAAGTCGGACATTTTTACGTCAGAAAATCGGAAAATTCAGGGAAAATATTTCCAGTGTTTTATTCATTCACTCTCGGTTATACTTATTAGAAATATTATTATGGATCTAAAAAATGAAAATTAAGCCTGGCCGTTGAGATCGGTCATCCCGGATCCAAACGGAAATTCGCAGT